AATCCAAAATAAACCGATACCCAAAACACCAATTTGTATCCCAACATGACTTGAATACTCATGTTTAACTGGTTATGTAAATAAAAAAGTAATTATTTGTCAAACGGATAAAATTCTTATGCAACTAACTTACAACTTCATTAATATAGAATAAAATTATGTCCAATTTAAAACTTTCATTCGTAAATTTAAGAGTAAAATTATAAAAAATATAAATCTATTTATGGCTTTATAATAATACATTGTACTAAACACACTAAATCATATAAATAAACTAACCTATTATTTATGAAATAAGAATACTAATATCAATGAAATTATTAAAAGAACATAGTGAAAAATATATTACTACTATCTATGTTTCCAAACAACAATATACTTTGTCTATATATAATTAAATAATAAATATATTTTAAATAATTGAGAAATCAATAACTATAAACGTATATAATTAAATTATCGCACGGATATAAATCACACGATCAACGGTTGTTTATCAACAATTATTTTATGGTAAATAAAACAAAATAATCAATTTTATCTATTCTACATGATATTAATTTAGGTATATAATATATTTTTAATATGACTGTTTATTAAATGAAATTCATAATCATATGGTTTTATAATTACAGCATCTTTTTAAACAAAATTTTAAACCATTGATAAAAAATTTATGTGAGATGTTTAACAGTTTTAATAATTTATAATCATTTACAAAAAAATGAAAATTCAAAAATTAAAACTTTATGTTCTCAGTATTTGTTCAATGCAAATAAAAAAATGAAGTATGTATTTTTATACATTTTAATTTAAATGATTTAAATATCAATGTATACACACACACACACACACACACACACACACACACACACACACACACACACACACACATATATATATATATATATATATATATATATATATATATATATATATATATATATATATATATATATATATATATATATATATATATAAACACCTACTAAATAATATTTTTTACTCATTTGGTTTTATAATCATTTGTATCATATTATAAAAGAAATTAACCATTGATTAGAAAAGTAGATATTTTACGGTTCAATAATTTATACTAATTTTTAAAAATTCAAAATACAACATAACTGAAAAATCTAAATTTTAATTATATGATTAGTGTAACTATGCAATTTATTTTTATAACAAATATTTAAATTAAAAACAGAGTGTATACAAATTCTTAGTAAATTTTTATTTTTGAAAATTATTAATTATCATATATATTTTAATCATATCCGATAAATTCGTAGCTTTTTTTAAATGATAATTTTTTTTTTTAATTAGTAAGAGATTTTATGGTTAAGTTAATGAAAATTATAATTTATATATATATATATATATATATATATATACATATATCGATAACTTATTTTTCTAAAGACTCTCACTAATCATTAGAATGAACATATGTGTTGTGTCTCAAATATTGTAATGTTTCTCTTTTAATATATGAGAAAATTTTATTTGATTAAAATTTATTTTGTTTTAGATAGAGAAACTAATTGTAAAACAACAAATGTATTTAGAGTTTCTCGAAGGGGTTTTTATTGGAATTTAAGTTTCTCACACTATTCTTTTTATTTATTTCTTTATTCTTTTTTTATAGTGGATAAGATTTGTAACTGCCGACATGCCATTTTAGTTTGGAGGAAGGATAACCCATCTCATGGGAAAGAGAAAATAAATATTCTACAAAAGGCTCTGGAGGAAGTTCAAAACGATATGTCAAAATCTCATGAAGAGGTGGTTGAGGTGACACGAAAGTTAAAAAAAGCATATCGAGAGGAGGAATTATATTGAGAACAAAAGAGTAGGACTTTGTGGTATACATATGGAGATAAAATTCAAAATTCTATCATGCTATGAACAAACAAAAACGTAACAAGATAACTGGATTATATAATGATGATGGAGACTGGATTTATTTAGAAACTGAAGTTGAAGGAGTGGCGGTAAATATTTCAATGATTTGTTCCAGTCTACCTCACCTTCAGAGTTCGATAGGTTTCTAGAGGAAATTCCAAAATTGGTAACATATGCACAAATACCAGACTAACGGCCTTGGCTTCAGAGGAGGAAGTCAGGACGGTACTATTTATGATGCATCCTAAGAAAGTTCAGGTCCAGATGGGATGACAGCTTTATTTTATCAACAGTCTTGGTCAATAATTAAGGTTGATGTGCTTAATATGGTTAATGATTTTCTTGGGTCGGATCTTTTTTATGATAGGCTCAATATGACAAATATCTGCCTTATTCCTAAAATAGCCAGGCCAAGTAGGATGACGGATTTCAGGCTTATTAGTCTCTGTAATGTCAGATATAAAATTCTCTCTAAGGTTTTGTGTCAACGCTTGAAAAGTTTATTGCCAAATCTTATTTCAGAGACACAATCGGCCTTTGTCTCAGGACGATTAATTTTGGATAATATTCTTATTGCTCAGGAGATGTTTCATGAGTTGCGAACAAATAATGCATGTAAAGAAAAGTTTATGGCGATTAAAACAAATATGAGCAAAGCTTATGATAGGGTTGAATGGTCTTTTGTGGAGTGACTTTTATTAAAGATGGGGTTTAGTCCGATCTAGGTATCCAGGGTGATGACATGTATTTCTTCGGTCACTTAGAAGGTATTACTTAATGGTCAACCTAAAGTAGCATTGTTCCAGCAAGGGGGCTAAGACAAGGGGATCCACTTTCTTCATGTTTATTTATTTTATGTACGAAAGCGCTTGTTGCAAATATTAAGAAAGAGGAACGAGAGAAGCGACTAGCATGACTAAAAATATCGTGAGCAGGACCTGCGGTGTCCCATTTACTCTTCGTGGATGATAGTTTTTTTTCTGCAAGGCGACTGTGGGTGAGTGTGATGTTATCCTTAAGCTCCTTAAAGACTACGAGGCGGTGTCGGGCCAACTTATAAATTTTGATAAATTCTCTCTACAATTTGGTCATAAGGTACCAGATCCACAAAGGATGGAAATTCAAAATAAACTTGGCATCAGTAATTTGGGGGGCATGGGAAATTACTTAGTAATACCAGAAAATTTGGGTGGCTCTAAAACACAAGTTTTCGGTTTTTTGAATGACAGGGTCAATAATATGGTCAACAGTTGGACAGTTCGTTTTCTTCCTAAAGGTGGAAAATAAGTAATTATAAATTCAGTGGCTTCGGCGATGCAAAATCATGTATTGTTACAGATTACCAAAGGCAGTCACAAAGAAAATTACGGGGGCTTTGGCTAATTTATGGTGGAGTAGTGGTGGCAATAAAAAAGGTATACATTGGTTATCTTGGGATAAGGTATGCAAATCCAAGAAGGATGGAGGTCTTAGCTTTCAAGATCTTCACGATTTTAATACGGCTTTACTGGCGAAGCAATTATGGCGCTTGATTGACAAGCCAAATTGTTTGTTCTCAAAAGTGTTTAAGGACCGATATTTTCATAATACAGATCCATTGGATCCTCACAGATCTTATTCACCTTCGTATGGTTGGAGAAGTATCTGCTCAGTTAGATTTCTGGTAAACAAAGAGCTAATCATAAAATTGGGAACAGGACACACCATCTTCGTATGGAAGGATCCGTAGATTCTTGCTCCTCGCCCGAGGTCAGCTAAACCAAAACTGCAAACCCAATTTTTAAATCCTTCTTTAAAGGTGGATCATCTCATTGATCCGTTGACGAAATCTTGGAATGTGAGTTTGCTTAATGCATATATACATCCGATGATGTCAAAATTTTAGAGGTTTGGCTATAAGTCGGAATGATAGGCATGATTCTTATGGGTGGTCCTTCACATAGGAAAATATACTGTTATTTCCAGACAAGGTACAGGAAATAGTCCCTTATGGTCCAGATATTAAACCTCTTTTGGGTTTCTCTTGGAAACTTAAATGTCCTCCAAAACTGAGACATTTTGTTTGGCAAGTTCTCTCAGGTACTATACCGGTTACTAAAAAGTTGAGGACACGTAGTATCAACTGTAATACTCGATGCAATATTTGTAGTTCAAAGGAAGAGTCGATTAATCATATGTTATTTGAGTGTCCTCTAGCTTTGCAAACTTGAGCCTTATCAAAAATCCCTTCTTCACCAGAAATTTTCCCAACTTCTTCGGTATTTACTAATATGGATTACCTCTTCTGGAGATTGTCCAAAGAACATGATTTTAGTAATTTCCCAATGATTTTGTGGTACATTTGGAGATATAGAAACAATAACGTTTTAATAATAGGGATGACAATCCTCAGGAAATTCTTAAAATCGCCGAAGTAGAGGGAGAGGTATGGGCGGAGGCTCAGCTCACAATCCCAAAAAGGCAAGTTATGGTCCCACAGACCTTTGACTGGCAATCATACATTCGAGAGTTTGTTTTATAGATGGTGCTTCTCTAGACTGAATTCTTATTTCACCCATTACTTTTGAATTAAATGTGAACCGGTCTAACTAATGTTAATTTTACACTCAATCTTTGGTTTTACGTAACCGCTGTATGTGTATTTAGAGCATCCCCACCAGTGATACTGAGGTGGGGTTTGCCAGCTATTTTTTTTTTTTCTTTTTTTCGTTTACTTTTTCAAAAAAAAAAAAAAAAAAAATTGGCGAACCACGGCTCGCCACGTGGTGAACTCGTNTTTTTTTTTTTTCTTTTTTTCGTTTACTTTTTCAAAAAAAAAAAAAAAAAAAATTGGCGAACCACGGCTCGCCACGTGGTGAACTCGTGACGAACCGGGTTCACCACGATGAACCCACGCGCACCGAATTCGTCACTGTTTCCCTCGGTAAACGTGTGAACCCCCCTTAGATCCCCTAATGGGGGTGCTCTTAGGCTTTAATTAAAGCCCAATAAGGCTGCCGACTCACTCAATCAAGTTCGAGAGAGTTCCTCAAGAATACCTCATCAAAAAATCAGGTAGATTCATTCATATTTCTTGCACGTAAAAATACTCTTTTATTTTGTTTGTGATTTATTTTAATATTGAAACCTCAAAGGGCGCCCCCAGAGATTTTGGCCTGATGCAAGGTTTGGCGGCGACCACCACCAACGGTGTCTCTACTACTTTTCTCAGGTTTCGTCTCGTCTTGCTCTCTGACATCGTAATCAACTCATCATCTCCTTTTAGGGCTCTCGTGTCGATAGATATTGCGATTGTTGATTTAGGATTCTTCGTTTAGCTCTGATTCATTGGTTTTAAAAAAAAAGATATCGTCGATTTAAAGAAACTTGTATGTCTCTCGTCTTATTTTTTCAAGTCTTTTGAATCTTTCAGTTAGATTAATGTCCTGATTTTAATAAACCAGGAAGCATAGTCCAATCCTAAACAAGTATGTGAATCAAAGGGTGTCTTTCCCCAATTTCGATTCATCCCCAAAACTAACATGTCTCCGTGAGATTGCTCCTCCTCTTTCAGGTACATATTCATAATAACAAATCGTGATTTTATAATAAAATTATGATAGGTAGAAGCTTGTCCTGTGTCTGTTATATGGGTTCTGAGACTTTGAGATTTAGTTACTGTTCTAGTTGTGGTCTAACTCATCCCAATGGTTATAAAATTTGCAGCAACTGCACCCGACGTGGACTTTGCATCATCGAACCATCTCTTTGCTCATGGTTTGCCTCCCTTGGCTTCCGGTTTTACGAAACGCCAGAGACCATTAGAGCCCGCGAGAGCGTTCAAAGACGACTTTTTCAAGATCAAGCTTCCTAAAATCGCTGAGAGACCTGAGTGGTGGTGGAGGACATTAGCTTGTATCCCTTATCTGATATCCCTCCAGATATCTGATGTTGGATTTTACGTGCAGCCTTTTCTAGAAAAGTACGACGCCATTGGAGACATGATCTACTTCATCCCCGGAGCTATTAACAGATGGCCCAGCTGGTTCTTCATGCTCTACTGCTACTTGGGTTACATGTTTGTGGTGAAGAACAAGGACTTGCCTCATTACTTTAGGTTTCACATGATGATGGGTATGCTTCTCGAAACAGCTCTTCAGATCATTTGGTGCACCAGCAACTTCTTCCCACTCATTCATTTCAAAGGAAGGCTTGGGATGTATTACTGGATGGTGATTGGGTTTACTTACATATGTCTGCTTCTTGAATGCATACGGTGTGCTCTCGCTGGGGTTTATGCTCAGATTCCTTTCGTGACTGATGCTGCTTCCATTCACACTCTCTTCAACTTGGGAGGCTTTTCGAGACCACTCAGGTGAAAAGGTGGTCCTCTATGGTGTTGCATACTTTGTAAGAAGAACAAGTCTTGTCCTTATTCTCTAGAGAGAGGTCGTTGGTGTGACTTATCAGTCCTAAGAGTTTTCTGTGATGTCTTTTAGTGTCTGTGTCTCGTATGTGTAGAACATAAAGATCTGTTTTTGAGAGTAGCTTATATCAATATTTATTTAAGTCCAAATAAATCGGTCGTAGTATGTGTGGCCCATGATTCTAAAGCATGTCTTGTTTTTGTTTTAGTATTAAGTAGGGCCGGTCATCGGGCATCCTTAGTGAAACATTTCTGAGGCCTCCAAAATTTTTGAAGAAAATTACATGAATATAGGTTTACCTAAAATTTTTTTAAGCCTCCAAAATTTATTTTTACATAAAAATCGTCATAGGTCCCCAAAATCTCAGGACCGAACCCTGGTACTGAAAAACAGAGAAATTTTACAGAATATATTTTAGAAAATCGTGATTGATCAGTATATACCTATGAAAAATGTTTTTTATCCGTTTGATAGTGTTTAATGATAGTAATATACTACTACTCTGTTTTGAATTTTTTTAGATCAAACAGGACAGATGCGGTATTCTGTTTTCGGAAGAATTTTGCATACAAAATTTCTGCATGACTTTTGCACTCTGTTTTGAATTTTTTTAGATCAAACAGGACAGATGCGGTATTCTGTTTTCGGAAGAATTTTGCATACAAAATTTCTGCATGAATTTTGCATGCAAAATTTCTGCATTTCCAACAGTAAAATCCGTTTTTTTTTGGCGGCTCAGTAAAATCCGTTTAAAGTGTAGTTTTATGAATTCAAAAATATTTAGTATTTCTAATAATATATCTAATCATATATTATGCTATGTTAACTACAATTTCCACATCACCAAATAACTCTTCCCTTCATCATCTCACAAGCAAAGGAAAATTGATCAGTTCAAACTTCGGTTATAACTCCACTCGTAAACTCCAGTTTCTCCATCTCCTCTAACCTTAAATCCACCTTTATTAATTATAAAATGAATTCAAAAGCTCTTTGAGATTCCCCCAATTACTCCATTTTCACTATATGACCCGACAAATTTCTGACTCATAAGATTCTTCTCACACCCAAATATGTCTAATCAATTTTCATAGTTTCTAAGAAAAAAAAAAAAAAAAAAAAAAAAAAAAAAAGTCAATCTAATAGTTTCTAACATCTGAGATTTATTTCTCCATGTTTCTTCTTTCTTTTGTAAAGTTGGCCAATAAAACAGGGGATCCTTGATCTTGTGTTCAGGTTTGATTTAAGGGGATTGCTTTATTTGATTCATCGTCTCAGACAATTGCTATATTTAATAAATATTATACAATATTTGCAACCTTGCCCAAAATAATTTATCAGTGTAGATGTTCCAGGTGGTTTAACATTTATATGTCAAATTTATATTAGATTTAAAAGTGAAGGACTACTACATGAAAGATTTCATCCTACAAAAGTAGAATGTTTTAGAGTTATTCCTTAAGTCTAGTCTTAAAGCCTTAATAAACGATAAAAAGAAAAACACTTGAGCACCAGCCTCATATCTAAACAACGTCCATATCTTTTGTTGTATTTACGTATCCTTCGAATTATGAAGCCCATCCAATGCAAACAGAATCTCTAAAATTTCAACATTACACCACCATAGAAGAGATCAGACTGACATGTTCTGGTGTAGCACAAATAGGGTAAAGAAATGATAGTTTTCCAGGATACGCATCTTGACAAACACGTAGCCTCTCTAACAAATATGTCTTGATAGGAGTTCCCGCGAGATTCTTCTTCTTTCATCGACTTGAACTTCTACAAAATTACCAAAATGACTGCAACGTGAGATTTTTTAAGTATCTTAAATTTACGTTGGAAGGGAATAAAAAAAAATAGACAAATTAACAAACTTAAGACTTATCCACTCCACCATGACTCAAGAGTTATTGTTTCTCACGGTTTTTGCATTGCCAGAAGCTTCTAAAACAGGATTGTACTGCAAGGCATGAAAATAAGTCGGAGAAGACCTTTTCAAATAAATTATTGGAGGAAACTCAATACTACCGAGTGTTGCCCTGTGTTTTAATTAATTACATACCTCCAAAACTTGTTGCTCCACGGTGAACGCTTCCCCCAATGTGGACTTTCTTAACTAATCTGCCTACTGATTCAGATAACGACACAACTGATCAACTCTTCGTAACGTCATGTTCTCTCATTAATACTTCTAATATTCCCACTCTCAAGCATTCAATCGAACTTATCATCTCCCTTGGTAACCGACTGAAGCGGCGATGAGCAGCGCAACAACAAAAATAATATTGTTTCCATACGGCTCAGTTAGAGGCTTCCCGACCATGTCTGGTGGTTCTAAGAGGACGGATCTGCTTTTATATGTTTAGATCCTCTTAACTTGCTCAAAATGCACTTCAGCTAGAGGTATGGATCTCTTTGGTCATTTTTTTCACAATTAGTTGTCAATGCTATCAAAAAGATTGAAAATTTTATGTTCTATGTGTCGTAGATCATTTGGTTTGATGTGTAATTTGAAAATTTCTCAGACTTTTCTCAAATTTACAGTCTTGAGAGGAAATAACAAGCACGCAGATTACTCAAGTGTGGGTTTCATTTATAATGTCTTCTTTGTGATTCTTAGCATTACCCTGTTTAATGTGTGTTTTGCATCTCTGCTTCAGCTATGGCTTTTATGACAAATGTTTGAGGAAGTACGGGAATGCAAATGTCTGGGAGTATTTCACATACCTTTTGGCTTAACTTCCTCTAATTGTTCTAATGTAGAGTCAGGTATGAGATCTCTTTTAAGCTGGTATTTCAGACGTATTTCTTAATAACACCATTTGACTTCATCAGCTTTTATCACTTGCAGGTTTTATGTTTCCATGGATTACATTTTTTTTGCATATTCTTGGGGTGAATGCAGTGATGGGAAGGTTGAGAGCTAACTTGCCACGTGTCCTAAAACCCCCCATACTATTTTCTGATGTGGACGCTTAAAAAAAAAAATAATCCAACTTTATTAATCAAGAAGATGAACGACATCCATAAAGTGTTGCAAGTCTCGGTGAGAAAACTCTCCCAGACACAGGTTTCGAGGTAAGGGGTATCCAGAAGTCCAGCGGTTAATAGCTTGAAAGTGACCATTCACTTTCTTGCCCGAAAAGGAAGTCAACCACCGGTCCCTTCACTCCCTCTTCTTGGAAGCCCTATTCTGTTACCTAAACAAGCATCCTCCATGAAGTTCTTCAAGCCAGTAAACGCAACATAACGTCTGGATCTTGAATCTTAAGCTCTTCGTATCATCTAGCATTTGAAGTTACACGGTCTACAACCAAAGATTTTTGTTTTTCAAGTCTAAAGTTCCATAACAATCCACTTGACGGTCCCCCTCTCTCAACCATCAAAGCTTTTAAACCTAATCTCCTAAGGTGCTGTACTCGGAATCGACTGAAACTCCTCCAGTAGCTAGTCCCTACAAGGAATCTAATCCTTGGTCACCATGGCATCTAGATACACAGAAGCTGAGAAAGGAATATACCAAGTGGGAAGCGAACAAAGCAACATCAAAAGAATCAAAGCACCAAATGTTGACAAATTCAGCTCTCATCAAAGATAATGCTTTGACAGTTATCGGAAGACTTACCAACCCTCATGAACAGAAGATCTGGGCCCTCATTCCAGCGCTACCACGCAGATGGAACCTACATGGAAGAGTAACGGGGTCAGATCTCGGAAATAATTGTTTCCAGTATCGCTTTGAAAAGGAAGAAGACCTGAGGAGAGTTCTTGATAATAAGCCATACCACTTTGGTTTTTGGATGGTCATCCTCCAGAGATGGGAACCGATAATCTCCAACTCACTTCCTTCCATGATTCCTTTTTGGGTCAGAATAAAAGGAATCCCTCTTCACTTCTGGCATGATGACATGGTGGCGAGTATAGGACAAGAACTGGGAACTCTTGAGAACCATGAGCTGACAAGAACAACAGCTCGAGTGAGAGTTCACGTTAGACAAGCTTAAACCACTAATAAAGGAGTCAATAATAGAATTTGACTCGAGGAGGAAAGTCTCATTACCCTGGAGTATGAGAAATTAGAGCTCCATTGTTCTATTTGTGCCTCGCTCCTCCATGCTAGAAGAAACTGCCCTCTGAAGACATGGAATGAACCACCCGCACAACAGCTCCCAAGATCCTCTCCAGTTGAAAGCGCTTCCAAAGCTATATCAACAAAAACTTGGAAGGATGACGCAGATAAAAGAACTACAAGAGTTGATGAAACAAGCAACCATTACCAGGATTTCAAGGCAAGAGTGGACAGACATTGTAATACCCCTGATCAGAAGTCCCAGTCAACGAAAGTCAACGACCCAGGATCGACCAAGACTTGCTGTGGGATGGTACTAGAAGTGAAGAATAGAGGTTCAGTCGAAGCAAATTGGAGGTTGGTCGAGTAAAATCCAGAGTTGGTCAAGTAGGCAGAACCGGAGCTTCGATATGGTCGTGGTCGAACACGGTGAATTATAAAAGTCTTCAAATCAAGTAAGGATTGATCCTAAACATCGTTATATGATATTCTAAGACATTTGGTCGAGTTAGAATGGAGTTGGACCGAGCCAAAATGGAAGATGATTGATAGAGGTTCAGAGATGGTCTAGGCGAGAATCTAGTCGCGGGTGAAGATCGGAAAAGTGTATTTTCATTCCAAAATCATGGGAATCGATCAAGTATCAACCTAGGAGTATTATGGAAGCTATCCAAAGACATTTTGAGGATTTTGGTCTGGACAAAACAAGGTTGGTACCAAGGTGGTCCGGAGGAGGGCCGGAATAGCCGATATGGTCAAAATGAGCAAGCTAAGAGCCAAAGAAGCCAAATTGAGTTGTGCCATCATGGTTTAAGAGTTTAATGGAGTATTTGGAGCAATTCTTGAAGTTTTGGAAATGGTCAATTCAGAGGTCAAAGTCAACAAAAGTCCGGAGAGAGAGAAAGTGCCTTATTGGTCCACATAGGAGTCTGGGTGGCCCAATAGGAGCATGCCACGTGTAGGGGACCAACTTTCTTAAAACCTGGAGTAGAAAGAAGATAAATTAAGGAGTCTAATGGTGGAAGAATCATGGCCAAAAAACATTTAGAGAGAGAGGAATCATGAAGACACTTTTTAGACCCATATTGGGCCTTAAGTGATCATGGAAGTTTTGGCAAAGGAATTCATCAAATTCCTTCAAATCTTTTCATCTAAAGACCATAAGGAACTCAGGAAGTGTGCTGGAGTGG